TCCCGAGGTCGCTCTCCCGCCAAAATTTATCGCTCTCCCGCCAAAAAATTTGCATATTTTTAAAACCAGGTGCCCGCGGGAGATGAAATTGAAACGGGAGTGTCGCGCATGGCATAGACACATATCCCAAAGTTTCAGCCGTCTAGCTTTTCTTGTTCTCGAGTTGAAAATGGGTGACAAAAAGTGCGAACACACACACACACACACAGCCTCTTCCCAATATGCGTTTTTGCAATTTACATACATGCAAAAACGCGCGAAGAGCCCGGTGCTTTGGCGGATTTGCTTACGATAGTGATTTTCGCAACTCTCCCACCAACAGATTGGCCGTGTCGAGTTGAATTCTAGGAGTTTTCTTTTTTCAGAGTGTGGCGAGTGCGCTAGTATCTGGGTATCGCTCATGGAAGACTTTGAGGAGACGCCCGGCAACAAGCCGCTGCGATTGCCCAAGAAGGCAGCACGAGTTAAAAATAAGGTGAGCCTCTTGCGATGTGTACTTGCACTTGCGATGCAATTTGCATTATTTTTCATGCATTTCTGCTTAAATTGGAGATTCGTTTTGTTGGCAAGCTCGTGCACGAGCTGTCTATCTGCCCCTCCGGATGACTCGGCTTCACTTTTGCCAAGCATCTTGCTAGATTATGCAGCTTGCAAAGCTAGGAAAGTTGGGGAGCTGAGATTTTTGGCGACACATTTTTCAGTGAAAATTTTTTTTGCTGAGTTTCATGAAAGTAAGAGGAGAAGCAGAGCTTGCTTGTTTCCCTGGCAAAATATCAAAGAACATGCCGATTTTCTCGTCTGACGGAGCAGGTCGGCTGGCCGGTCCTGGATAGGCGGCGGGGTAAGTTGAGGGTACGTTTGCTCCTGATACACTTATCCAGAATTATTATGTTACATTTGTTTTTTCATTTTACAGGCTCCAGCGGATTTACAAATAACAGCGGAGCAACTGCTGCGAGAGGCCAAAGAGCGTGATTTGGAGATTGTCGCGCCACCTCCGAAGACGAAAATCTCGGACCCTGAAGAATTAGCGGAATACCAGAGGAAACGGAGGTTTGTAAAAATGTATTTGCAGAAATGTCTCAAGACGCCGTAATTTTGGTTGTGGCTAGTCGCGAACCCTCGTCATTTTTCTCGTCTGAGAGATTGGGCTGAGCGAATACTTTAGCAGATAGGCCGTAGCTGGCTGATTTTTTGAGGTCTGCTGAAGCTAGTTTGAAGAGAAATATGAGATAACTTGACTCCTGACATGCTGGACTTGTTGGCACCGTTTATTCGAAGGAAAACGAGGAGAGGGGAGGGGTTTTGTTTCCCTAAAGGCTAGTAATAGCTGATGGCAATGACAATAAGCGCCCCTTTTCTTTGAACAAAACTTGTTTTGCCTCTTATAAACTGTATTTTGAGACAACGGATAATAGTGTTAAATTCAGGAAGGAATTTGAGGACAACATCCGAAAAAATCGTTCGCAAATAGCAAATTGGGTAAAGTATGCAAAATGGGAAGAAAATATTGGCGAGCTTCAAAGAGCTCGTTCGGTGTTTGAACGCGCTTTGTCCATGGATCACCGCTCCATCACCCTGTATCTTCAGTACGCGGAAATGGAGATGAGGTTGGTTTTTTTTGCCTTTTTTGGGCCTTTTCTGCTTACCCCAACATTATCTTGCAGTCTTCTCACTCTATAATTCGGCAGAGTTATTGGCCTATTTCCCTCACTGACTTTTCAGAATCAGATGGATAGAAAATGAGAGCGGCACCATCACTAAATCACACATTACTTTCTCAAAAAGCGTAGATGTTTAAATAATTTGCCTGATTTTTTAACTCTGGATTGCTAATTGTGATTGGCATCGTCAATATATTCTCAATACATTTTTATAACTTCCGCCAAAGTGATCTAAATCGATCTCCTTCCATCGTAGTTAGGACTGTCCGGCAAGGCCTTATTAAGACATTTTTGCGCAAATTTGCATAGAACTCGTGCAAATTTTTGTATTCATTTCTCCATTTCTTGAACATTTTAATGCAGGAACAAGCAAATCAACCATGCACGAAATCTGTGGGATCGAGCAGTAACAACTTTGCCTCGAGCTACGCAATTCTGGCTAAAATATTCGTACATGGAAGAACTGATTGGAAATGTTCCTGGAGCAAGACAGGTGTGTTTCGCGTTTCGTCAGCTACTTTCTTGGTGCTTAGCCATTGTTTTATCGGTGCATTCCTCTTCACAGCTGGTGCAGTTAGTACTGGCGGTTTCTGTTGTTTAAACATTGATTGTGTACCATTCTTCTTGAATTATACATTCATGAAGTGCTTTGGAGCAAGGCAAATTCCAGGTTTTCGAACGTTGGATGGAATGGGAACCTCCAGAACAAGCCTGGCAAACTTATATAAATTTTGAATTGCGTTACAAGGAACTTGATCGCGCACGTTCCATCTGGCAGCGATTTCTCCATGTGCACGGATATGACGTGAGGCATTGGCTGCGTTATGCAAAATTTGAAGAACGGTTTGGATATATCGGCAATGCCCGTGCTGTAAGTGCTGTTCACGTTGTTTTTAGCAAAAATCCCCGATAGGAATACCAGGTAATCGGGACACGTATGCGTCGGTGTAATTATTCGTTGAAGCTGTCGAAACTAATACATGCGAAGAAATTCGAAATGTTAGTGTGCTAGGCACAGAAGTGAAGTATTAAGGAATGCTTATTCTGTAGTACTGATAGATGTGAACGAGAAACAACATAGTATATGGCTAAAATGCTTGTTTTTCCTGGACGTTGCTGCTTTTATTATTTGATGTGGGAAAGTTTTGTGGGCTTTTTTTTTTATTTGTTATTTTCAATCAGAAAAAAAAAGGTTTATGGCAGCCAGCAAAATGCAGAAGTAATAGACTGGTTATATTCAAAAAATTCTCCTCACTTTTTTCTTGCAAATTTTTTTGTGTTAGTGCAAGTAAGACTGCATTAGCACTTCATAAGATTGCACTGACTGCAACAGACTGCACTTCATATGACTGCGATGGCGGGATTGATGAAGTTTTGATGACAATGAAATTTATTGCAGTGAAATGATAATGAAATTTATCCAAATGATGAATATTACCCATTTTGATGATAGTGAATTTCATCCATTCGGTGACTGGTTCGTAAGGCGACATGCCAGAAAGCTAGAGCCGTCGTTAGCTTACTACTGAACTGATCCTCCTTTCCAGTTAATAACCCCGTCTCCTGCCACCTTTTGTGATTCTGAGACTTAAACCCTACCCTCTGCCCCTCCTCCTCCTACTCGCTTCTACCCTCTACTTCATCACCCGAGGCAAACGTACCACAAACATTGCAACTCGCTTTACAACTCGGCTGTGCCAAGTTTTAATAATTGCCGAAAAAATGACGGTCGACATTTTCTGCAGCCAGCGAGAATACTGTTACTTGGACTACTTTTCCCAATGTTTCTCTCTTACTGAAAAGAAATTCGCTGAGCGGCGTTTGTGCTTGATCATCCGCTGTGTTTTCTTTTAGGTATATGAACGAGCAGTGGACTATTTTGGCGACGAGCATTTAAGTGAAACGCTGTTGATCGCATTTGCGCAGTTCGAAGAACGGCAGAAAGAGCATGAAAGGGCGCGGTTAATATACAAGTGAGTTGACTGTGTATATGTGAGTTCGCTGCTTTTGCGGATGGGGAACTACTGAAAGTTCCCGGCTGGCCACCGAAGTTTCAGGAGAACAAAAGCTCAGCGAACACATTGCTTTTATCAAAGCCTAATTTGTAGTGAACTGAAACATATCCAAAACAAACAGGAGGCTGCGGCTGAGCGGTATTAGGGAAAATGGTGAA